ATTCGGATATTATATACTTCGGTCGGGTCGGAAAAAGTCGGATTCGGATAAAATTGTCATCCCTAACACAATTACACTCAACCTATTTATTAGCTAGACACCATGCACTTCATTTATTAATATACTCCACCTCGCCCGCATGGGTAGCTCAGTTGGTCAAGAGCGTGAAATCTTGGACCGATGACCAGGGATCGAATCCCGCAAGCGGCAGTGTGGGAGCTATCCAAAAATCCCATAAAGGGTGAGGAGGCTCCTTGTGCGCGGTGGGCACGGGTCTAGCGTTCTTGGCCGACTGAGTCACCATGATTTACATCCTCCACCATTCCTGTCGGGCAAGGGGGTGGGGGCGCCTGGGGTGGGCGATTCCACCTTTTGGACCGATTAATATACTCCACCACTTTGATTAGGACTAATTTCATTACTTCATTTTTTTTTTCAACTCATCTTTAAAAACATGAAAAGTCAGATTGAGAAGCTCTTTTCCACACGAAAGGAATATCTTAAAAATGTACATGAAAATTTTTACAAAACAAGTTGTGACATGACTGTTTTATAAAATGATTAAAGAAGGGAGCCTTATTAGTTTGCGATAATTAAAAGGTACGAAGTGAGGTTCAATGTCAGAAAATAAGTTTTGCAAATATGGAAAATTAGTTTTATATTTAAATAGCATTTAGTTTGGTAATTATTAATTCGATAAAAATTAAAATATAAGAACTGAGGCTCAGTTTCAGAAATAATACTTTTTAACATGATACTTTCAAATATTGTTAAACCGTCTGAAAGAATTATTTTAAAATTTATAATTTTAGATCGTATTCAAAATCATTATTTTTAATATTTTCAATATTGTAAATTATTTTTCAATATTTTACAAACTAAATAATTTTCAAAATATTAAAAACTAATGTTCAAACATACAGATATTTTCAAATCCATAAATTTGGCATGTATATTTCACAGGATAAATTCAAACGGATAAATTTAAATGATTTAAAATCAATAAAAAAATATGTTTAATAACCTAATTATCGAGTAACATTTTTGAAAGTATTTTTAAACTATTTTAAAATTATTGGTGTTTCACTGTTTCGTATAAATTTTAGTTAATTAAATTCAAAAGTTTATCAATTATGATTATAAAAATTCAAAACTGAACAAATACTCTCGAACAATAAGTCATAGGGTATTTTTTTCTTTAAAAAATATTCAAAATGTCGGGGAAAAATTTCAAAAAATGAAAAGTGGGCAGCAAATTTCTATTGTACTAAAAACTTCCTTAGGAGTTTTTTGGTAAAAACCTTCTGGAGTTTATCTTTTTTTAAGTTCAAAAATCAAAGAAGGATGCAAATGAAATAATATTAACTTCTTAGGTACATCGTAATATTTGTTTTTGTAATTGGGTACATTTTAAATATTTGTTACATTTTAAGAGTGTAAAATGTTATTGACTCAACAAAAATGATTGGGGTGCACCAAAAAGAGTAAATTCTTAAAATAGTAATCAATAATTATGTGTTTTTCTAAATTAGTATTTAAAGTTAACTAATTTCTGAGATCGTACTCATTTATTGAGAATAATACTCAGTTCAGCCACCGACTAACGATCGTTAAAACAACATTAAAGAAAAGTTAAACTTTATACTATTTTTCCAAAATGGTACTTTCTAACTGGGTGTTCTTTGAAATTAATCCATTTTAGAAATAAAAATACATTAAATATGGAAAACTATTTTAAATTATATTGGATGACAATTATAATAAAAACTATAAATATAGTTCTATAAATTTGAAAGTAAACATTTTAGATTATTTACAATTATTTGGAATAATAGCATGTAAATAACATGTTTAATAAGCGTTAACGAAATCACTCTAAATAGGAGTAAATATATACAAAGAACCAAAATACGAGCTCTTGCTCTATGTTCTAGTCCTATTTTATGTGAATTATTTCAACATTTATTAAACATTATTTTATTTAATATATTTTTATTTCCAAAATGGACCAATTTGATAAAACAGTCAATTGGAGAGTATCATTATGGAAAGAGAGTATTAGGTTTCACATCATTTTAACGCCTTTTTAATGGTCGTTAGTCGGGAGAACAAAACTAAATATTATTCTTAATTATCGGGGAGGGGGGGTTGACGATAAACAATCTCATAGGGGTAGCTTTAGTGGGAGTGTGGTAGTGAGTGTCGTACCACCATTCAGCCAAGGGTAACCACATACACCAATTTGTTGGATGATTCCTACACATACACATTAAGAGCTTGTTCCTTAGGACGGTAAAAAAAGAGTTACATGTTGGAAGGAATTGGAAAAAACTAAAAAGAACTGGAAGGATCTTGAAGAAACTTGAAGAAACTTGAAGGAAATGGATGAAATTGGAAGAAACTTGGAAAGCATTAAATAAACTGAAAAAA